GATCTAATCTACACGCATAATATTTTTAAGGAAATGGAACATATAACACAATCATTGCCAATTATTAAATCGATCAATTAACCCCAGAAAATATGTTACAATAACAAATATACAAACAATAGTAATATCTGTCGCTAGTCTCCTAGTATGCTTGACTGTTTGGGCGGCTAGCCATTCCTATTGCAGACGTCTGCTCAGGCACATTTATATTTGTTCAACATGCTGTGGTTTACACTGTAACGATGCTGAGCGGACCAGTTTCTGGGCGTGAGCGCATTATCTGGCGTGATCAACAGTTTAGAACGAGGCCAACACGCTCAAAACCTCGGTCACGATGACTTGTGATTTCGTGCTAGCTCAACAAAATAGTTCCGTCTACCTAATTTTCACTCACACGTGGTATGGTTTTCCGGCATTTTGGTGCCGCACGCTGAGATCTACAGACCGAGAGCGTCAAGAGGTCAACAAATCGACCTTAGTAGCATTCGAACTCCGGTATCCTGGTTGGAAAGCGAACGTTCTATAACTCGTCCCTAAGAACATTATTAATGATAATTACACAAGCAATAACATAAATATATATATATAAACTCTTCCACAGAAATCAACAAATCTTCAATAAACAAATATAGTAAAAATTAATACATAGATATCGATCAACTATCGACAAAAACAAATTCAGTACTTCAGTTGCTATAAAAAGTAAAAACGTTTAGCTTGATCATTGCCAATAATAATAATAATAATAATAATAATAATAATAATAATAATAAAACTCGCTTAGGAAATGGTAATTTAAAAATAAATCAAACAAAAACATATTTATGTCTGAATTTATGGAAATATGAGTTACTATTATTTCACTGTTGTCCTCATCTTTGTTGTTTTTATCACAGCGTTTCGACCGTTGTTCCCTGCGGCCTTCATCAGGTGTATGTCGATCGGTATAACCTACAAGAAATTTCGAACTGAACCATATATTTAATCTACGGGGTTAGACTGTTCTCATTCCGACTTACGACCACATTACGTTGAAACATCGGTTCCCGTACGATCACCGAAGTTAAGCAACAACGGACCTTGGCAGTACCTAGATAGGTGACCGTTTAGGAATACCAGGTGTTGTGAGATTTGATCTGCAGTTGGTGTAATGGAATTTTTAATCGGATAGCAGAGTTCCAATTCCAATCGGGTTCGTTATATTCATTTACGCGCAAATACCCTTGGGAAAGGTTTTTACTTCTTCTTCCTCAGCTATGGCTTAATTAGTAAAACTTGTATCACTAAGCTAGTATTACCTAAAAAAAAAAGTTCTTACAATCTAAAAATATTTTCTGGATTTAAATAACCTCTAAAGTGTTGATAAACCCTAGAAAAAAATTTCTCGTTCCACAGCCCATGTTTAAGGATATCTTGGCTAGTTCTTATTTTAGTGCTGTTCGGTTATTGCTCTTTGTTTTTTACTGAGTCCAAGTACTTTTTCAACTGTAAAAAATTCTCAAACATTCCTAGTTACAAAGGAGAAGAAGTTGTGGAAAGCCATATCGATCCCCGTCCTTATGTAATACTAGCAGCATGGCCCGGCGTTGCCCGTGCTTGATTCAAAAATCGTACGACTCATACAGCAATTGCTATCACTTGACTTAAAATATTTTTGCCCTTCCTTGCCTTTAAAGGAGTGCCCTTTTCCATGCTGATGTTGCTACATGCCTTACTTCTTGCCTATCTCACACTGCGAATTTTTTCTAAGCTCTACACTAAACATTAAATCTGTTACGAAAAAAGAACTAAACAAAATGAACACAAAACGATCAGCTTTAAAAAAGGACTCGTAACTGTAAAAACCGAATGAAAAAAGAATGTTAACAACAAATACTTTTTCACACTGAACCCAGTTCTGCGGAATCGGAATCAACGTTGAGTTTAAGCAAACGAATAAGCCAATTGGAGTAAAGTGTCATGCAGATTTAAATTTTTCCCACTTGTGACGAATGCAGCTATCGATTTTTTTTGCATGCTAGTTAACATTTGTGTCAGTCAGCTGTTGGTTCTCACGCTGGCCAACAGAATCTTCCTGCCTATTCGTGGCAGCTAGCTATAGGCTCTCACCCTGGCCAGTAGAAAATGGCCGCAAACTACATGAAAACTGCCGTAGAAGCATGAAAAAATCGATTATTTCTACTATCAATGGGAGTTGGTAAATGCTAAATCGGTCTTGGCCTTCCCGCTAACTTGGAGCATGTGCAAATTCGTCGAAAATTGCGGCCTTTCATTCGTTACGCACATCTTGCCTTTTATAGATAGAGATGGCATATAAATGATGATAATTTGAAAACGTATTCTTCCTATTAAAATAATTTATTTAATCGAACGTTTTTTGTCGGTAGTCCAGCCATTTTTGAGACCAGTTGTTTAGAATGATGGATAAGTTACTGGTATTAAATTTACATTTCAACATTCAGCATTTTTGTTATTTGACGAAGATGTTGACGCCTGTGATAAAATGCAAAGGAGACATTTTTCGAGCTGATGCATTTGTTACTTATTCAGTATACAAGTAGTTAATAAAACTAATGGTATAATTATGATCTTGACGTTACAGATTACTTTAAACAAAAGGTTAGTAAGGAAACTAACACCTATAATCCAAAGTGTAATAATAGTTCTTGGGCTTGAGAAACCAATTTTATTGAAATTTTTGAAAAATTGTTTTAATAGAAAGATTTTATAATTTTCTACTGACGTTACTAGTCTTTGCTTGGTTTCAGTGATGAAAGTTTCCTTGTAAGGAACTATATCCCGTGTTGGATTCAGTAAACACATGTGTCAAAACTTTAATGCCGACTGCAATAGAATCCGGTAAACGTAGACAATATTTTGTTTTTTATTATAGCCCACTAGCTTTGTCTCTATCCACCACTTCCTTAATCTATACTTTCTGAATCTAAATATTTGTGGTTTTAGGGAGGAAAACTTTGAGCATTAAATATCGAATCTTGCAACTTTTGTTTAAGCAAATTTTTGAGCAAACGTTAGCCTTTAGTGGTATACTATGCACTTAAAATGTCTTGTCAGTGGTCAATGCAATTATTGCCTACCGATAGGGACTTTTTATAGGGGGCAAGAAAACTCAACACCGCCGACTCAACACCGCCGACTGAGCGCCGGGACAACTCAGAACTGAGACTCCTCAGGACCGAGACAACTCATCACCATGACATTATTAGAACTGAATAAAATTAATTTATTAAGGATTAATGCCTTAATTAATGAATATGTTTTTAATAAAGTAAATAATAAAGAAATTAATTTTTTGATAAAGTAAAAATATTCACTAATTAAATTACTTTTATTCGGTTATTAAAAAAAAGTCGTCTCAGGCCTGAGTTGTCCCGGAGCTCAGTCAACGGTGTTGTGTCGGCTGTGTTGAGTTGTCCCCTCCTGCTTTTTATATGTAGCATGTATATGGAATGTTAATTATTTTAATATCAAAATGCATTGAAAAAAACCTCTAAGAATGCGCACGTGTGGGTGGCTAAAAAAAGTTCCAATTTCATTCTCGCGTCAACGTCCTTCTCCTCTAACCCCTTAATGTCGTATTTGTAAGATCTCAGATCTCCAAAGATCCCCAGATGTATTTCAGACACGATTCACACGCGAACGGACTAGAAATCGAAAATTTACCCGGTAACATATATCATCAGCGGAATATGTAAGAATGATTTGATGAATACCCGGGTTAGAACCAAAAAAAAAAAGAAAAAAAAAAAAAGAAAGAATTTTCGGAATAATCTTTCGGAATCTATCCCCTTCCCCTACTGCGCATGATCAGTGGGGTTCTGTTGCGAGGAGAAAAAGTTTTGGCACCCTGTAGCCCAAAATGAATTTGATACCAAACTGATCCCCGAAAAGTAGAGCAAAGAAACCCATGAAAAGAAACAGGAGAAGGAGAAAAAGGTGGGAAGTGGAAGAGGTGAGAAAAACAAAGAAAATGAGTGGGCATAGACTACGACGACGACGACGACGACGGAGAAGAAGAAGAAGAAGAAGAAGAAAAAAATGCGAAGAAGAAGAAGAAGAAGAAGAAGAAGAAGAAGAAGAAGAAAATTGATTGATGCTTTTTACGGCTTATCAACCTTTTGCAGGTTATTTAAAGCCAAAAAAAGCTAACTCGGCCGCTGACAAGCCGAACCGCCGACAGAGTGGGTCCGATGCGATGCCGTCCATTCAACCCTGAAACCATGTCACTGGACCGCAGAGTAACACGCAAGGTCTGACGACACTCATTGAAGAAATTCCATTTTACGACGGCGCTCAACCCTAGAACGGAAAGGAGTGATGGTAAGTCAAGAGAAGGCGCTCCTAACACTCCTCGTCCATTGTAGATCCTCGACGCAGCGGAAGAAAACCAAACTCGAGGTGTGTCGGTGACACGCCAAGTGTGACACTCCCAGCACCCCATGACACGGGCGCTGGATACAGACGGCTTACCCCACCAGTCCATGCAGAGAAGCCTCTACCGACATTCGTTAAAGGATGAGTGAAAAGATGTACACGGCGCACACCTCAGCCCTAATCTTTATGGACAACCACCTTCGGAGCCATGTCCGGAATGCCGCTCTTATCTTTGCTAGTACGTCCGACCAATTTTTTGTCCAGCTAAAGATCCGGCCCGAAACAAACTCCAAGAACGAGAACGAGACTGTTATTCCAATTGAAGGACCTCAGAAGACCTACGCCCTTTCCAAGCACCTAACCGCAAGCCGAAGTTCTTGTTGCGGTTAGTCATAGCCTCTTTGACCTTCTGTACCACCTCAATGTCGCTGCGGCACGACATGAAAATAGATACGTTTTTCTTCATTATGTGCCCTTGAAATTTCAATTGTCTCTTTCTAATTCTAAGTAGAAGTGACCTTTTCGTCTCCATTTTCTCTAAAGGTTCATCATTGCTCCAATTTTCATGGTATCCTCAACATCATTCTGTAGAACCACATTTCTGTTGCTTCAAGTCTCTTCTTCATTTGTGACGAAGTTGTCTAGCATTCATTGCTATATAAGAGGGCTAATGTCACATAATAATTTACTTTTTGTTTCTTAATACTTTGCTTAGCTTTTTGAAGGCATATTTCGCTATCCCAATGCACCATCGGATTTCAACATCGCATTTTCCGTCCTCTGTCAAAACCATTCCTAGATATTTAAATCTTTGTACTTGCTGGATTCTGGTCTCTTCAATTCGTATTTGGCATCTTGGTCTGTTCTTTTATTATATGGGAATAAAGTGTCGCTGCCGACACTTGAGTTTGAACATAGATCGCCAGTGAGCAAGCACAAGCGATCCCATTATTGAATTAAATAGGTCACGTGACCATAGAGAAAACGCATAAATAGGAAGTCGCATGACATTTAACTGATCTTCATTTCTAGTCTATCCTCTATTACTATTCTTTACTCTATTCACTATACTATTTCTCTATTCAGATCACTCTACGGTGGTTACTTTTCGAAGCACGGTGGAATAATAAATAGCGGCTCGGATTTATGAATCGGAGAGCCGAGTTCGAATTCCAGTCGAATCCATTACATTCACTTACGTGCTAATTCCCTTGGGAAAGGTATGAATCCTCTTCTTCTACCTCAAGCTAAATATCAGGATAGACCGGGTTCTACAGCCTTGGATGGTAACTGGTCTACCGGAGAAAGAAATGGTTACCTACTGCGGGAAAAAAAATCTGCCTCGTCAGACATGTATCGAAAGATACATGATCACCTAAGCGTGTATCACGCATGGCATATAACTGACTGATTATCGAGCAAGTGATATACGAAGGCGTCTGACACCAGCATTGTTCAACAGCGTTACTATAGTTGTATTTGCGATTACAAAGTCTCTACTACAACGAGCATTGCTAAAGTGACAACGAATATTCGTTGACATTACAAAAGTGGCAACGAGGGTTCGTCGACATCACAAAACAGATAAAGAAAATCTTCCTATAAGAAGTGGAATCCCATAGTTTATTAACGTGGACTTAAATATTCGTAATTCGTCAGAGTCGCTCTTTACAAGTCATTGTGTGTTTTAACACTGTTATATCGCTTCGAATCATATACCATCGAATACACGTGTCCTATCTATAAAGAATCATCACTTTACATTGGTGAGAATCCCTAGTTTACACCCGGTACATATAAAAAAACAATCGAAATCTAAAAAAATTAATTTTATTATTAGATTAAATTAGCAACTGTTATTAATTCTACGCGAGAATTTCTTTTCTCTAATTTCTCTTGCTTTTACAGCGAAGTCGTAACACAGGGTGTCCCCAAAGATGTACTCACTCTTTAAATGACAATAAATGCAGTGCTTATTGACTTGCAAACCAGATTAACGGTTAAAACTCAGAAATATTAACGTTTATTGACTTACAGACAAGATTAACGGTTTAATTTAAATGGAATATTAAATCAAATTAAATGCATAGATATGAAAAAAAGAAAAACGTTCAAGAAGTTATTGGGAAGTCAAAAAGTGTTATATAGAAATAAAATGTCGCTGCCGACACTTCAGTTTGAACATAGATTGCCAGTGAGCAAACAAGGCGATCCCATTTCTAATAGATAGATTACGTGATGAGATGTTGTGAGTTTCCCGCGTGTCGGTGTATGAATTAAGACAAACACAGTTGTAGAGGAAAATACTGGTATATTCATAAAAGCAATTAACAATAGAGTGATTAGTAGAACGAAGGTTGGTTAGTACGAAACAATATCCAAAGTCTATAGTCCAACGGTATGTACCGGGTAAGCTTATCTGGACTGCTCACGCTGACTCTCTCTCTGACGCTCTGTCACTCTCTCTCCAGAGCTGACTTATATAAGAGGGACCAGTCCATTTCTAGTTAGAAGGTGGGTGCGCCCCAACACGTGACCAAAGAGGAAACGCATAAATCGAAAGTAGTGTGACGTCTGATTGATCACAATTTTTATTCTAGTTTATCCTCTATACTAATCTGATCTGCATTTCTATTCTACCCTCTTTTACAATACGGACCGCTATACTCTACTCTATTCATTATACCATTTCTCTATTCGTATCACTACACGGATTACTATTCGAGCGAGTCTTATCGAGCAAGTACTATTAGTGCGAGTGATATTCGAAGGCGTCTGACACCAGTATTGTTCAACGGCGTTACTATAGTTGTATCTGCGATTACAAAGTCTCTACTACAACGAGTATTAGGAAGGTGACAACGAGTATTCGTTGGCATTACAAAAGTAGCAGCGGGTCTTCGTTTGAGTCACAAAATCTTTTTTTTGCCGAGAACCCTAAATTCTGTCTTTTTGCAATTGATGATTAGAACTTTCTTCTCGTTTTTCATCTTAGGTTCACGTCACCCTAAAAAAACCGGTTCGTGTACGATCACCGAAGTTAAGCAACGTCGAACCTGGTCAATACCTAGATGGGTGATCGCTTGGGAATACCAGGTGCTGTAAATTTGGATGTGCGGGTAAAGTAAAGGATAATGGCTCGAAAAAGTTAATCGGGAATCCAAGTCCCAATTTCCATTGTGTTCGTATTCACTAACCGTTTGGAAAGGTGGGAATTCACCTCTTACCCCCCAGCTATGGGTTAACTAGTAAGACTTGTATCACTAAACAATTATTATCTCAAAAAATGATGTTACAGTATTTCTGGCTTTAAATAACCTGCAAAGTACTACATTCTGGAGGTGTGGCCCTAGTTTACTTTCTGTGTCTGCTATCAACACTATGTCATCTGCATATATTATATTCTAATATATATCTAATATTTATTTATATTATTCTACCTGTCGAAAAAGAGAATCAGAAAAAAATTGTGTCGGCTTTAGTAGCCTATTTGTTCTTCCCTACGAATCTCGACCAAACATAGCTTTTATTATCACAGCAAAGAAAAGCTGTTTTGAACAACTGGTAGTTTTAGTGAGTGAAGTAGATTTGGTTTGGTTTGGTCTGTTTTACGGCATATCAACCTCAATTGGTTATTTAATACCGACAAAATTTTTAGTGTTGGTAATTTTTTTTTTCAAAAATCTATTTCTGGTGATATTTTTTTCATTCAAAAAATCTATTTCTCGTAATATTTTTCTTCAAAAATGTATTGCTGGTAATATCATTTTTTTAAAAAAAAAAAAATGTATTGCTGGTAATAATTGTTTTAAAAAGTATTTCTGGTATTAAAACTTATTTAACTTTCATAGTGTTTTGACTCCAGTTTGGGGTTTAACTATTTACCCATAGCTGGGAAACTAACAGGTGCTTGTCACCCCGGGTCAGGGTGGATCTGAGAACGCGCTCCTCAAAACCTCCTGATCAGAGGCCTTGTTTATTGTCTTATCCAGGATGGGAGTGAAGTAGGTCGTTGTGCGTTGCGAATTTTGGATACAGATTTTTCAACCCTTCAGATTTTCAACATCTCTCCTCCATTTTTTTTTTTACTTTTGGACTCGTTTATGTTTCTTGGAATTATAAGCTCGGATTATTATTATTATTATTATCATTATTATTATTATTATTATTATTATTATTATTATTGGATCTGAACCTCCCACATAAAATCACGTGACTTAATCCCACACATTTAACATCATATCTTATTCAAATCGTTACTACACCAATGAGTCCCGGCCAGCGTTTGGTTAGTCCATCGGCCCCTCATCCAAATGTGGACCATTACAATCTGCTTTACGACGTTTGAAACTAACACTTCCTCTCTAGGGTGGGTGTTTATATGGCTGTCATGCGACTCTTTCTCATGTGTTCATTCTCGGTGCGACTGTCCGGAGTGTCCACTGGGTGACGTCAACTTAGCGACGCTGAGTGCAAAGTCTATTTTGGCATTATCTAAAGTAAGGCACATACTGCATCTGTTTCTAAAGAGGTTATCCAATTTTATTGCTTCGCCTGACGCAGATTAGAACGCCTCTTAATTCTTGGACCTTTATTTCCGATGTTACTGAAAGTGGGTGGATTGTTGCTCCTAGTGAATCGGCATATCTGATTTCGAACAACGTCTCAGGTTTTCAATTAAAAAATTGAAATGACGTTAGTTTTCGACAAGCCACTTAACATCGTCTGATTGGGTAATTAAAACCTGGTGCATTTTATACGATATATATATATATATATATATATATATATATATATATATATATATATATATAATCGAATAGTGAAGGCTGAAAAATACAAGGTTTGAAACTTAAATGTGAATAAAATGACTGACGTTGAAACAGATATTCTTACAAATTTAAATGTACTTTTATATTACTTTATATATATATATATATATATATATATATATATTTTGAGAGAGAGAGAGAGAGAGAGAGAGAGAGAGAGAAACAAACAGACAGACAGAGACAGAGAGAGCAAGATAGAGACAAAAGGGTCAGAAAAGATAAATCTGATGTAATAGTCACCATGCAGTGTTGATTTCTCTGTCCTCACTGATTATTTCCACATATACACTAATATTATGAACCTTTATCTATACAAGAATATCAAATTTTAAATAATATATATATATATATATATATATATATTTATGCCTATGTGTGTGTGTGTGTGTGTGTGTGTGTGTGTGTGTGTGTGTGCATGTCTCTGTTTATATATGCACTAGACGCATGGCCCGGCGTTGCCCGTACTTGATTCAAAAATCGTACGACTCATACAGCAATCGCTATCACTTGACTTAAAATATTTTTGCCCTTCCTTGCCTTTAAAGGAGTGCATTTTTCCGTGCTGCTGTTGTTACATGACTTACTCCTTGCCTATCTCACACTGCGAATTTTTTCTTGAGTTTAAGCAAGCGAATGAGCCAATTGGAGTAAGGTGCCATGCAGATTTAAATTTGTGATGAATGCAGCTATCGAATATTTCTTTGCATGCTAGCATTATAGTTAATATTCGTGTCAGTCAGCTGTTGGCTCTCTCGCCGGCCAATAGAATCTCCCTGCCTATTCGTGGCAGCCATCTATTGGCTCTCACTCTGGCCAGTACAAAGTGGCCGCAAACTACATGAAAACTGGCGTAGAAGCATGAAAAAAATCGATTATTTCCACTATCGATGGGAGTTGGGAAATACAATGTCGGTCTTGGCCTTCCTAATAGGGCTGAGGTGGGAGCATGTGCATGTAAATTTTGGTGCAAATCCGTCGAAAATTGCGGCTGTGCATTCGTTACACACACACACACACACACACACACACACACACACACACACACACACACACACACATCGTGCCTTTTTTAGATAGAGATTAATCCACATGTATATAGAAAAGAGCAGGGTGCATATATTCCATTTTTTATGTAACGCTCTTCTACGTCACCAGAAGAGTCCGCTACATCTCTAGTTAGTGGCCATTTCTGGTGAAGTAGTGAAAGTTCCACTTATTTTTTGGCCTATGTTTAAATCTGTCCATATGTATGATCACTGTATGTTTAAAACTAGTTCATTTACTTAAAGTGTGAAGCTGAATCGATAGGTAGGACCATTCTTTCTCGTGTTACGAGTATGCATTTCTATAAGAAGGGATTCCAATATGCAAATTGGGTGTTAGCCCCTATAAAAATGGGATTTTGGAAAAGGGTTGTCAGTTGGTGAAAAAGAATTTCCGCTGTTATCAACTCCGGCTTTTGATTCGAGGACTATTATATCCAGCCGAAAGAATCTCGATAAAAAGTTGCCGACCAACAAAAAACCCGAAAGAGAATTTCATGGAACAAATTTGATTAAGCCATGCCGTTCACTCCCAACTAGAATTCATGTTTGCATATTTCTAGATGTTTCTCGAATCATCTAGATTTTTCTCGAATATACTAGAATGATCTAGAATCTTCCAAACATTCTATTTCTAATTTCTCTATTTTACAACTACTTCATGAATGAAAACTTTTTTGTAATAACAAGTAGAACTCAGTGGAATCCATTCTTATAGAAATGCATACTCGTAACACTCGATCGAAAATAATTGCTCAGTATGTCTATTAGAATCGGTTGACTAGATCATTTGAGTAACTCTACTCGAAGTCTGTGCCTGCAATCGTAGAAAAATGTACGTCGTCCTTCCGAGAAGACGTTTTCAGTTTTATGCCACTTTCATTGAAACTATGAATTAAAAGTATTTGAAACTATTTTCATTAACACTATTTACATTATTCGGACTCTTTTTTTCGCAATATTTATTACAACGTTTCGGCCGTTGTATGTTGGTTGGAACGTCGAACTGAACCCTTTATTTCGCTCACTGGAGTAGACTGTTCTAGTTCCATGTGCCATGTCTAATGGATGTCAGTTATCAGTTATCTCTTGTTAATTCACCTCTGAAAGTTCTCCACTGCCTTAACCAGGTATTGAACTCACAACTCTTTGGGTTCTGCCACTGGATATAACTAACGCCTTTATCCACTGTGCCATGTGTCCTTGTAATAAATATGGCGACAAGGATAAAGACAATAGTCTGAATAATGTAAATGGTGTACATATAATGCCTCATCTCCGAAATATAGATATATATTTTCATTCAATCAAGACAACATTTCGCATGCAAACAATGACAGGTTGTTCGGACTGAATCTTATTTGTTTCTGAAAATATACCTGTCTTAATATAACATTGATAAGCGTCTATTTTCTTCTTCATGTTTCCTTCGAGTTGGTGCGTACAAAAATTTTACTTTTATCGATCGAGCTCTGACAAATGATGAGCGATAACCGGTGAGTTAATTTTCCTTTTTTTTTTTTACCCCTTTTCTTTCTTGCTCCTAATTCATATTGTCAAATACCGTAGTTGGTGTTTTCACTTCTTTGTTCTTCTTTAATTATGTCCGTTTGCAATCGTAGTGATATCTGTAAACTGTGCCAGGAGGAAAAACTTAACAATAATAACATTTCCAGATTCAAAAAAATCGGCTGAATGAAAGATCAGGAATGATGACACGATGCTTCCATACTAAAAAAGTACTTTTTGAGTTCGTACGAACCAGGATGAAAATATGAACATTTTATTTAAATCCAATCCAATTTCAATACTCTTGCTTTCTCCTCCCCTTCTACTACGCTTCGCATTTTGCGTTTATATATAAATAATAAAGTGCTAGGTAATCCTTTGACCCGTATCGCCTGACGATACCAAAAGGTTGAAACCAAGGTAGCGTAATTGGCTGATCTCCTATTTTTTTTTTAAATTTAAAAGCTCTGCATGTTAAAATTTTATTTTATTTACTCATGTATTGAGCTCTTTTTAACTGTTTCCTGGTCTAATTCAACTCTGACCAATAACTGTTTCATAATTCCATATATATATATATATATATATATATATATATATGAGATGTTATGTACACTATTTACATTATTCGGAGTATTGTCCTTATCTTTGTTGTCATATTTATCACAACATTTCGGCCGTTGTACGCTCTGGCCTTCTTCAGGTGGTTGGAATATCGAAC